ATCTATCCATCGATCCATCGATCCATCGATCCATCGATCCATCGATCGATCCATCCATCCATCCATTCCATTCCATTCCATTCCATTCCATTCCATCCATCTATCTCTCTATATAATCTCTATCTCTCTATCTCTAAATATATATATATATATCTATCTATCTCTCTCTCTCTCTCTCTTCCTCTCTCTCTCTCTCTGCCTCAACGCTAAAATCTTGTGACCAACCTCTTCCACAAAGCATGTCGCAAATGCCAGGCTGGCGGCTGGCGACTTAACATACATTGCGCAAGTGGGCGGGCCAACAACTCACATCTGTTTCAAACGAATTCCCGTGCCAGGCATCGAAAGAAATTTATTCTTTTCAACATCTCTGCATCAATCACATTCTCCTCGAGGACTTCCCTCCGGCAGTACTTCCTGAAGCCAAAGGCGCGCTTCACAGCGCCGTCCGGAGCGATTTCCTCACCAGAAACGGCCTCTCCCCAACCCACCAAAGCCTGGAACACGTCTAAACGGAGGTCCCACCGGAGGTCCAACGCAAACAAGACACTGGTCGTCCAAGAACCACTTGCTTGGCGTCTCCTTGCACAAATACAAAAAGGCGGACACAGCAACGGCTGCTCTTCCAAAAAACTGGCCCACGTGCTTGAAATTGCTCATCCGGCGTGGCTCTGAGATACAGAAAGGTGGAATCAAGAGTCCTCGAGAAGATGCTTCAACCCTGCATCTTCAGCTTGAGGAGCCTTTGTAGCCAAAGCTTCGAAGCGAACAGGAGCTCCACAGAAAACTGTGGTCAAAACCTTGAATATAAACACCATGGACCATGACTATACCTGAATCACAACTTTTTCAGCCTTCATCCTACAAACTGGAAGTCTAGAGACAAAACATAAGGACCTTTGCGGCCCCAACCAGGTGAATGAGGAAGGTGGGCTTAGGCTGCGGCACCGCTCGCTCTCCCCCGCTGAGTGCTGCGTTGTTGAAGAAGCTAGCTAGACCTCTATAAGTCTCTGTAAGGGTTGTTACTTCACCTGCTTCAAGGAGGTTGAACCATATCTCACCCAGGTGTCAAGAACCCACGACGGTGCGCATCTTTTCGGGGTTCAACGAAGCGATTGCCACCCGGCCAAGCTACCAAAGGTGGGAGCTGGAGACCCCGCATGAAGCGTGGAGACACGGTGTTCCAGTTCCGGCGGCCTCAGCGCTAGAAGCTCGTCCCCTGTCACCCTGTACGGTATGTAGATCAATCGAAAGATTGACATGTTTCTCAATTAATATCATAAGTAGTGGTGCATTAAATTTTCCAGCAACCGCGGTCCCGTGGTTTTTCGTGAGGTCAGGAGTTGGAAAACTCACTTGCCCCCCTTTCTTTTTGGAGAAACCTACTCAATGGGCAAGCTCTCTCCAAACTTCATCATCCAAACCATGTAGAACGGAGTACAGTGTTCGAAAATGTTCCCCTCTTTCTCGGTTGCTCTGTTCAAAACCTAAGGGAGAGCTTGCTGATCTTGGGTCTGGCTGGGTTCAGGCCAGCCGGCTCATCTTTTGCAAAACACTATATACCAGGTGCACTGGGACATAGCGGTCATACTTGCTAAACCCGATTGCAAGGGGTCAACATTTTTTCAGCAAATGGCAGCATTATGTGCAAACCGGGGAGCCATCTGAATCAGACTCCTCAACAGCGCTCAAGGCGACTTGACTCCGACTTTAAAGTCTTGGGAAAGGTCCAACTATCAATCACTCGTTGCGAAACATCGCACCTCCCTTAGGTTGCTTGTTCAGCCGTGTCCCATACAAACTGAAGCGCTCTCTTTTTGAGCGAGCGCTGTAGGCATGGGGTCACAGTGCTCGACTGAATCAAAGTAGGTGAACACAGAAGAGACCGAAGGGGGAAGTGAGGAACACACTCATCCTGAACAGGGTATCTCTTCGCGAGTCCGACAGGACAAGGTAGAACCCCCCTTTCAAAAGGTTTAGGAACACAGTCCCAACACCCCCTCAAAATCGGACATCTTCTCAGTGATCAGATCCTGATCAACTCACTTCACAGCCGACGGATGCGCCTGGCCTGGCCTGCGCCCCCCTGAGGCATCCGATCGGCCCCAGGGAGGGCAGGGTGGGCTTTTAAACCTGGCGAGCGATCGCTCTCTTTCGCCAAAATGGCAAAGGCGAAGAATCGATCGATTGTGAGTTCCAAGATGTAACACAATATCGAAAAACACAACTGAACAGTTTCGTGTCGAGTGACTTGCAAGTTCCTACCAACCAGCCGTTAACTTGCTCCCCACTCGTTGCGAAACATCGCACCTCCCTTAGGTTGCTTGTTCAGCCGTGTCCCATACAAACTGAAGCGCTCTCTTTTTGAGCGAGCGCTGTAGGCATGGGGTCACAGTGCTCGACTGAATCAAAGTAGGTGAACACAGAAGAGACCGAAGGGGGAAGTGAGGAACACACTCATCCTGAACAGGGTATCTCTTCGCGAGTCCGACAGGACAAGGTAGAACCCCCCTTTCAAAAGGTTTAGGAACACAGTCCCAACACCCAGGCCCTCAGTACCTCCGGCACCCAAACTTTTTGACCAATGTCGCATCAGTCAACGATTCAGCTCGAACGGCCACCTAGCCCACACAGTTTGCCACCCTAAGCGTTCGCCTCTCGACAAGTCATTTCTCGAGGGAGGGTCTGCTGGATTCGCATCTGTGGCAACTCGATCGATGAACACTCGAATCCGCATCCTGAGCACAACGTCCCAAAAGACGGAGATCAGGGAACAGATATCCGTCCTGCTCGAGTATCCTTTGATCAAGGCCGATTCCACCACCTCCGAATCAATGAAAATGAACAAGTCAACTCCTTTAAGCCGATCAGCGAACGTCTCAAGAGCAACAATCGGGGCGAGCATTTCCACTGGTATAATTTGGGTTTTTCGAACTAGCCACCGTCTCTTGAGCTCGAGCGGCACAACTGCGGTAAACTGAATGGGTTTCATCATCCTACGATCGAAGAGGACGGCACCGATCCGGTCGGGAAGCTTCAGAGCATCCCTGGGGTCAGGGGAAAACCCATCCGTGAACAACACCGCATCGGCTTTCTTGTTGACACACAAGTCGATCGTTCTGGGGGGCCCTCCTTGAACGAGCTTCAACCATTGCGAAAGCGACTCTCTCAAAGGGGGATCTAGCCCAAAACGATCGGTGTGAGCGACACGAGCATACTGTCGTTCCGAGATGGACCTCAGGAACGCTCTGCCTACCTTGCCCCAGAGCTGGCTGGCACCGAACATAAGCTTACCTTTTAGCTTACCCGCCTGACCAGGCTCTAACTCATCCGAGGCCAGAACTGCCTCGATCTCATCAATCAGCTCCTGGCGCCGAGCGGCTTTGATTTCCAACACCCAATCAACGAGATTGTAAGTCACTCCTAAGATCACCGGTTGGGTGGAGAGTTGGAGCTCCTTTGCGTCGAACGACGCCCCAAGCCACCAGTGAACACACTGTGCCGCCTGAAAGGCTGACTCGATCGAGGCAACGGGCTCAAACCCGTATTTATCATCGTAGAAGTTAAATGCAACCATCTTGAACAAGGAGCACAAAATCTCATTGATCGCGGCCGAGCGCCTATTATAGTTGTACACAGCCGACACAAGGCCGAAAGAGTGCCCTACCATTACGAAAAAGGAAGGCACGTTCGACTTCGGATCCTTAAGGCAAATGACACTAAATTTACGATGGTCAGGCTTGATCCCTACTTGCCGATAGGCCTTACGCTCATCAAGCACCCAGCCTGCGAACGAGGCATCAGGCAACAGTGACCTCAACCTCCTAAGAGCAGCAACGTTCGTGTCTGTCGAAGGCAGTCGAAGTTTCTCAGTAATTCGAGTGATCTGGTTGATCAGGTTAGTGGTTGCACTGTCGCAACCTCTGACCTTGTTTTTCTGAACCGCTTCGAACCTCTGTGTGGGGATCCAGTCTGTACAACCCAGCATGTTGGAAACTTCGTCGATCGACGTCATGGGGCCCAAAGATGACCCTTCAGCCACATCTTCGAGAGTCGAATCCCAGAGCTTCTGCAAATTCTCCGAGCTCGGAACTCTCTGCACTCGTGCAATGATCTTTGCTCTGATCTCCCAGGCCCGCTGACAAGCATGATCAACTGACAACACTCGCTGCGGTTTGTCGTAGTCCGGCCAGCGCCGCGAACGAGCGATGGGCCCGACAATTGGAAAGCCCTGGAGCAGCAGGTCGGGAAGATAACGATCGACCGAGCCACACGCTTCAAGCATCTCATAATACAAGGACACGTGGCAACACGAGCCGAGCTGGCAAGGCGAACCATCAGGTTGGCCACGCAACAAACGTCGAAGAGCGGCATCCGGAACACGCTGCAGCAGCTGGTCCGTCTGAGGCAGCAAAACTACGGCGCGATTGCGCCACACTTCAAGTTGGTGCAGCCGATCGGTCACGACCTGAGTTGTGTCTGCAGCCAGAGCGGCAATACATGAGGAGATGCCTGGATCCAGGTCAACTTCAACACACAAGGGGTGGGGCAGATCCAGGGCCCAAGCGATCGCCACTCCTGGTTCCGTCTCCACATGCAACAATGGTTGGCGAGCGCCCCTCTTAAGCTGGTAGCCGGACGCTTCGGCTTTCAAGGCGGAAAGAGCTTGTCGATGTTCTTTCCAACGCAAGGGCTGGCCAAGGGGGCGCTTACGATCGGGTGAGGACACGCAAAAGCTCTTCATGAACTGCAAGCCCGAATCCGGCCAAATCAAGCGAATTGCGTTGGCGATCGCCTGACACATGTCATCCGGATACACTTGAGCCAACTTGGTGCGAAAGACCCAAGCGTTGAAGAAAGACGACCACACTTTGCCAGTAAGCCTCACATGTGAGTGCCTGTGATCACACCGCGCCTGCAAACACATGAGCGCCTCGTGCGAGATCAGGAGCCGTGTCGGCTTCACAGAAGGTGCGCCAAACATGCATTGATCAAAGTCCACGAACATGGCATGTGACCGACACTTCAGGGCGAGCAAGGTTGGCGCAAGCCACAAAAGGCTGTGCTCTGGATTTTCGATGGAAAAATTTCCGCCACGATCGAACACTGCTTGACAGGCCTCGATCGAACGGTCTAAAAAGAGGTTACCTAGGAAAACTAAGGCTGAATTGTCCAACGACAGATCTGAAAGGCCTTCCGGCTGATCGACCGATCTCAGTGGTGGAGGACCCCCATCGGGCTTGCGAGCAGCTGAAAAAGTATTGCAAGGGGTGCCGCAATGCAAAAATCGAACAGCCCCCGCCTGAATCAACTGCATCACAAAAGACCACTGATCAGCATCCACTACATCGAACGGAGTGGGAACCTCCGAGCAAACCGTGATGTCGATCGGTGGCAACGCGGGGATCCCCGCCTTCCGAATGGCCTGAGTCAGGGTTGCTGTGCCCGAGAAGATCTCCAAAAAGAATGGTCCCCGAGCGACAACGGCCGAAGCGTCCCGCGGAACTTGGTCCCACGACCTCCATGGCATGTAGGTGGAAGACACTGTCAGCTCTGTCGAAAGAACTTCATCCGTGTCTAGTGGCTCCGAACGGACGGCAGGGGGCGATGGAGCCTCTTGCTCCCTGCACACAGCATGCGGCACTCAGTGGTTCCCGTGCCACGGGTGGGCCTTCCCACACTCGACGCACAGATGAGCACTCTTGCATTGATCCCCGAAACGGCAGCCGAGCGAACAATTGAACCACGGACAGCGTTTCTTGCCACTATACTTGAACGAAGTAATCTTGGCCCACTCTGCGGCCGGAACACGGGCATCCTTCTTTGGAGTCTCTCGATCGGACTTTGGCTTCAAATGTTCACGCGCGGCCTGGAGTGTCTTCTTGGCGCGTTCGCGCCTGGCCTTGTTCTTCTTGGCTCGAGTGCCGGAAGGAGCTTTCGGAGGCGACTCAGAACGTTCCGGATGCGAGCGCTTGCGGGGTGGCGTCGATGGAGCTTGGTGACCGGCCTGTTTGAACTTTTCCAACTCAGCGCTCGAGCGAGCATCATTCCACAACTGTTTATGGTTGGTCAATACTTCCACCAGAGCAGCCGAGAACGAGCCGAACGACTTACGCTGATCTGAGTTCAGGCGGTACACTTTCTTCCTGATCAAGGAATCGACCGACAACAACAAGGCAAGCCCGTGATTCTCTTGGCGCCACTCCTCAAGCTCCGACAGGTACCGCAAAGGACCTGCTGTATATGTGAACTCACAAATATTGAGGTATTCAAGAGCGACCAAGAAGGCGTGCAGCTTGTCCATGACCTGGGATTCTGAGGCCGCAGCAACAGGCTGATCAACCACAACAACTCGCAGGAGGTCTTCAGCATTCTTGGACAAGCCACTCTTTTGAGCAATCTGTTCACTCCGAGTACGCATCTCACCGACCTCGTAAAATGGAACTGCACCATGAACGAGGAAGTCACGCTGGATCCGCTCGACAAGCTTCCGGTGAGGCTCCCGATGATGGGGGAGCAGCACATCTGGATGACGCTGCACGAACTGTTCTCTAAACTCGGCATGATCATCACCTGGAATCTCTGGAACCTTAGTCGGATCTTCTTCCATTTTGGCACGCCGAGCTGCGAAATGATCTTGAAGGGTCGAACAAGTCTTCCAAACAGCAGCTAACGAT